ATCGACATTTTTAGCGAAATTGGGTTATTGACAAAATCGACCCCCTCTAATCAGGGGGGCTACTCTCGATCTCCGTCCGACATCCGTCCGAAACAATTACTGTCAAATAAGTAATATTCGACAAAATTAAAAGGCAAGTATCCAGTATGAAGCTTCACTCGCATCACGCGTCTTTTCATTTGGTCAAGTATTGCTTATTTCGCAGTAATTGTTTCGGACGGATGTCGGACGGAGATCGAGAGTAGACCCCCAGTTTTTGAATATCTTACTTAGTATCAGTTCTATTGTTAAGCAAACTCAGAGACAATTTTTAAATGACAATAAAACTTAGGTGCCAATATCTTGAGACTTACCGAAATGCAAATGCTTTAGTTATGACAAGGAGGGCAGCATTTTGCTCTGGATGTTCTGGGAAATGACCCTGGAGATAATTTCGGTACTCCGGCACCCTTATTGTGGTCGTTTGGCACGTTACGAAAAAATTAAAATGTTTGATGTGTAACCAAGACGCTTTATTAATATCCTGTTAATGTTTCTACTTTAAACTTAAGTACATAAACTTAGTCAAATTTATGTATAGAATGTCATGATTGCCTACCGCTTAACTTAACTTAGTCGGTTCCTGATGTATATATATTTTCAATCAATTTGCTTTTGAATATCGTCGGAAAAATCTTGTTGAAATTATCCCGTGTGCAGCGCGACATAGCTATTACGTAAACTCTCACACCTCCCGCACCGCGCAGCTACCTCAGGGACCGACTCAGTTAAGCGGTAGGCCTGTACCATAGTTATTATTAATACAAAGATCGAACTCAAAAGAACAAACCCTTCTACTTTAGTTCAGTTGGTTAAAAGCGGTGGCCCCGGCATGGCAACCGAAACTGGTTCGAGACTAGTCAGACCGAAGTAATTTAACTGTTTTCGTGGCCGAATGGTTACCATGCTGGACCGCCACGCAGAGATCCCGGGTCGGGAAAAATATTTGTATAGCCTACATTTATGACTCTCAGTTTGGGTGAAATTTGTGGCTGTATATGAGTGTGTCTATGGCATCCGCGACACAGGGTTTCCCTAATGCGGGGCAATAAGGAATGACTATGTGCGTTATTTTTATTATTATTATTTTCTTTGTGTTCGATCTTTGTATCAATAATAAAATTTAAAAAGATTTCTTTTATTTCAAAGGTTTTATCGTGCATTTACAGTGTTGAAAGTCGTTAGAGCTAAAATATTCTACAATGTTGTGTGGTAAATTGTACAGCGCCCCTAACAGTCTCAAGATTCAACAAAATTTTCTCAATAATAATTTTACGAGGACGCTGGCGACTATCGACACAGTGGAGGTACCGAAACTAGTTCACTACATTCTTGTGTACTGCGCATGTCCGTGCTAGTTAGCTTGAAGTTTAAAATGAAACCTGTCCCGTCAGTTCAACGACCGATTGCACGACTAGATATTTTATAATGATAATATTTGAGAGTTATACATGTAGTCAAATTACATTTTTAACTATGTTACCAAACGGTGTACACTTAATTGCAAATTTTTTACTAGACAGTGCTATAGTCGGTCTTTTTTTGCAGATTGACAGTTTTCATAAAAATGTATATAGTGATGTAGTTGTTGTCGACAGTTTTATCGATGGATTGTGCAATAAGGTAAAATTTTGCTAAAAGTGTCGAAATTGTGAATGTTAAATTGAGATGAGAGAGTTCCAATGACTACTATTATGCTTTTTTATTCTTATTTTGACAGCTACTACCGAAATTAATTTTTATTCATTTACATTGTAATAACAAAAGTCGGATTTGATTGACCATATTGAATTAAATGAAAAGCTTCCAAATATTTCTCCTCTTTATATTTTTAATAAACATAGTTCTAAATGCAATGAACTTGCAAAAATTGACAATTCAGATGAACCTGTGCCCAGTAGTTGGGATGAATGGAAATTGACCGATGAGGATTCAAATGAAACAATATCTTGTTTCATTCGCTTATGCGTAACCAATATTTAGTCGATAGTCGATGGAATATATTGATTGCAATCACTAGCTGCTTGCAAGCGGGCAATACTTGTGCGCAATTAACTGTCATTTTACTCCATCTTAAAAAAAGACGCTATGGATATATAATGACTGACATTTCTATTATTAGAAACAAATGTATGTTATGCGGTGTTATATAAAAACTTCTAAGTATGTTGTATGCAAATGTGTATTGTGTACCTATTTCTTTACTTGCCTTGAAATTATCATTTACAGTAAATTACAACAAAGTAAAATGCAAACAAATATGTACTGTCGACTTTAAATTGTCATTGGCAGATAAACCGCGTATGTATATATAAGTTTATATTTTATAGTATTCAAGTTTATATTTAGGTAAACAGCTCAATATAGACAAGTGCACTGATAATAATATCCTAAATGTCACGGCTATATGACACTTACTGAAATATTATAAAATATTACAAATAAAATAATGAATAATTGATTATGTCGAAATGGGAGCCAGCATAAGTGGTAAGACTTTAATTTTCAAACGCATAACTGGCATGCCAGGTATTTTACGTGTACCTACACATGCGTGATCTATTTGCCTGCTACTGATATTGCTTTAATGCGTGTACACAATCTAGTAACCTTACATATGCCTACTTCAGAAATTCAAGTGTGCCAGCTACATGCGTACATAATTTGGCCTTACCAGGTTGTTAGTTTAACTTAAGTTGTCAGCTCCTTAAATGAAATTCGTTACTTGACAGAACAGGTGTTCATTTGATATCATGATAGCACGATAACATATTGCCGGCGCCATTGTTTTTTCTATGCGTTGTGCTACATTACGCTGGTGAAGCGTGAAGAAATTTGAGACGATAAAGACATATTTCTAATATTTTTATTTCAAAATATTTACAATAAAGATTATTTGTGTTGTAATTATACACTTCACATATGAATAACTAGCAATAAGTTTGACGCATCTTCTTTTTTACTTGTCTAATGGACGTCTATTGTTCTTTCAGTATTCTATTTATATGCTATTGTGTGTAAATGTTGCTGTGATTAAGCGCCTACTCGGGTACTATTTTGGATCTTTAGGGTGTCACCACACTCAAACAACGCGGAAACCACGGAACCGGAATGAAAAAAGGTTTATATGCAATAAATCCGCAATCCGAGTCTAAGACTCAATTTATATTGCGGCGGAACGGTATGCAAGCGAATTTTTGCAACGATATTGTACACAGAGTAATGAACTTTATGGTCAATTTACGTACAAACTAAATACGAGCCAAAAATCACGTCGTGCGTCTTGCGCGGAATTCTCGCGCAAGCTCGATAATTCTAGCGCATCCGCGAGAAGTCCGAAAGTGCCGTCGGCGAAGCCTGCCGAATCCACGGGAAGTGGCGCGAAGACAGAGGCAGTGTGACGTCAATCATCGACAAATACTACAGCTTCAAGGCGCAATCGCATGAAAGCTCGCTAATACTCGAGAATACCAGAGACAACACTCGCCTTCTCGCGCAGCGAGGCGAAATTGACGCTTTCGTTCCGCCGCAATGTAAATTGAGTCTAAGCGCAACGACTCTTTTTAGCTTTTATTGCGTGGCTATAAAGGTTTTTCTGGCAGGATCAAACCGATTGATAAGTGTGGTGACTCAGACCATTATCAGACTTGTAAGTGAATTTGACTGAAGATTATGTTTTTATCTTTCTATTAATTTTGAGCGAAAAAGACTAAGCATAGTTACCTTTTTGAAGTGGTTTAGCGTGTCCGGGCTGTTCTCGCACATCTCGGTGATGAGTGTCACTCCAGTGATGAGCACACCTGAACATATTTACAATAGGTTTACACTTTATGCTATGTGTAATGGAGACTAATGACGACGACGATTTCATTTAAATGGGTAAATCTTTCAGCAACCACCAGGATAGACGTTTCTACCCTGAGTAGCCGCCCGCCATCCTTTTCTTGTCCTCCTCTGTCGGTCCCTCACTGCTGAGGTTCATGACCTTGAGTAAGTACACCATCAATCAATATTTCCTACTGTACTCTGCCTTTGGTTAGGTGGAGTGCGACGCTCACTGGTAGTGCCACTTGGTCACATCATTCGTTTCGAACTACGTCCTCTAGGTCGTTTGACCTCTATCCTGTTCCCTTTCTCAATGCTTAACAATTCGAAGACTCTATCATAATGTGTCGGTGTCAAGTGACGCTCTAGTTGTTTATTTTAGCAGAATTTTTAGTAGCAGTAGAGCTCCTTGTGAATGAGCTCGTCCAGAGAAGTACTGCCACCGTACTGCTATTTCTGCCGCTAAGCAGTGATGTCCGCATTACTGTGGTCCGGTTTTGAAGGGTAAGGGTGCTGGTGAAATTACAGGCACATTTGACTTGTCAACTTATGTCTCAGGGTGGCGGGCGTAGTGGCAATGCCCATCAGATCTTTGCGATTTAAAGCTTTGAGTGGCACTGCAACTATTATGGACAGGGGTGTCGCTTACCACCAGGTGCACGACTAGGTGTTTGTATCAAGACCAGACCTACTACAGTCCACTAACAGAAGAATACAACACTAATAGGTTCAGGAGTTATTCAATTATTTATTTTGAAATATATATATTATAATATTAATTTCTGATATATGGTCACATTTAAATCTGAAAAAAATAGTCTGATTTTATAGTTAAATATTTGATAAAACGTAGAGGACATTCGATAATTAGTATAATTATGGCTTCCAAGTATGAATAACCGTAACATGACATATTTCTAGAAGTCGTAAACATTTATGAGTCCGGAACGTGACATAAAGTACATCTTTTAACATATTTCACGAGAATATGTTAAAAATATTAAAAAGAAGTTCTTTTCACAAACGAATGGGCGTGCAAGTAATTTAATTTTATGTCAAGTCAAATATTTCGGTGTATGTCAACGTAAATGATTACGAAATCAAGAGAACGTCAGAGCCTAAAATCGTAAAAACGGATTATAGATATCGGCAAAACAGTATTACAATGCTTGATGCGATTACAGAGTTCTTACAAAAAATATGTAAAAATTTATAAAACAACGCATAAGTAACAAGCAAAACAAATTAAAGCTAACAAATTTTTATGATATAAAGTAATGGGATGTACAAGTCGTGCACCTGGTGGTAAGAAACACGTCTATCCTAACAAATAAAATGCCACTTGGAGCTTTAGGGTCAGCGCTAATCGGCCGATGGGAAGGCAGAGGATATTAAATTTATCAATGTTATATTTTATGCTATTACAAATTGTAATTTCAATGATCTGAGACCGACTTCAAAGTATCGCAGCGCATTTCTCTCTGCGGTATTTAAGAGTAAACTAGAGTATACCACGGCGGGAGGCAGTATGCGACAGAATCCACCAATTATGCGTCTGAATGACCCGGGGCGTAGCGACAAACGGGAGGAAGCGGACGCTGCAGAACGCGGTAACTTAAGGGGCATCCTCGTCAGTGTGCGCTAGCGGGCTACAAAGGTGCCTTTCCACCGGCGCAGCGAGAAGAGGCGAGGCGAGACGAGAATTGAAATTTGTACGGCAAAATTTCAATTCTCTCCTAGTGCACCTTCGGTAGAAATGGTCTGGATTGACAAGGACGAGCGAGGCGAGAATTGAAATATTTCTTGATGTAATATTGAACCGTGTGCTGCCTACATAGAGTATTATGCTCTGCAACACAAAAACGGTTTTCGCGCGAGCTCACGATGTCTATTAATATCAATTGAGCGATTGTGGGGTACTAATGATTTAAGATTAAAAAAAACGATGCCTTTATCTGATTCTTCTTCCGTTAACACACTTAATAGCAATAATTTACGGGACAAGGAGTCGTGTTTTAATCGATAGACGAACTGATCTGCACTGCATCTTCTGAGCTGTTAATGGCATTTTTTGGTGGAAATAATCCGCTGAGATTCCAATTCTCGTCTCGCCTCACCGGTGGAAAACCACCAAGAACCTCTTTGATGCTATCCCGCACCGTCTACCGTTTCGCGCTGGCACTTAAATTGCAAAGATCTAAACAGCATACAAGCGTGATAAGGTGTTTACTCACCATGATTCTTCTCAGTAAGCAAACTCCTAGTAGCAGGTAAGAACATTTCCATTAAATCAGGAACTCTTCTTATGATCCTGAAGGCGCATAGTGCTGCCTTCTTCTTGATATACGCGTTGGGAGATTTGATAAGCCGTTCCACTTCAGACGCGAGGTCCCTCGCCATTTCTGGAGATGCTATCGCGCCGAGCGTGCAAAGCGCCAGCCCAACTACGAATTGTGTGTTGCTATTCAGGTCACTGTTGAAAAATATAGTATTTAGTTGTTACATCAGTATTAACAAAATATCGTTCGACGATTAATTTAATCTGTCTCGCCCTTCGAGGACGAGTTATTTACAACCATAATTTGTCTGTTATAGTAGTGGCCCAGTGGGTGAATGGTCACTTCTCATTTGAGAGGGCATTTACATGCCGCCATAGGGATTCAAACCGTCGCCCTTTAAACCCCAAGTGTAGCGATGCAATCGCGCGTTTGTATCGCGTTTGCATCGTTGCAAAAGTTGCCGTGTGTAACCGCTCTTACGTACATTTTGATTGTTTAGTAGTACCTCTCGCTAATGTGTTAATGTGTAGTCTCTGACCTGCGTTAACCCCAGCGTGGTAGATTATGGCCTAAATCCTGTCCTTGGAGGAGACCAGTTCTTACAAGTTGGATGTATAACAGGTTGATGAAGTTGATAGTGTGGCCTAAATCCCTTTGGTCGGAAGAGACCCCGTACTCGGATGTGAGTTTGTTATTACAAGAGTACAATTTGAAGTAACCCGTCAATGAAGTCGACACTTCGACGACATGAAGGCCCCTACGGGAAATGGGCTGTGGTGATGATGACCTCTAAACTATTAAAAACTTGTGTTTGAGAATTCTCATGACTAGATGAATGTTTGTTTTTATGCGAAGTAATACTAGGTACTAGCAATCGTTTTAAAATTATTTCTTTATAGATCGGAAAGCCACGTGATTGGTGTGAATTCAGTTCAGCATTGCTCTGAATTCTCTGATTGGACAGTTTCGACTTTCATACAGTATTCTTAGGCTGAGATTTATAAAATGAACTTTGACTTCGACTAATCAAAGATGGTGAGCTAAACAAGTTTTTTCGTAGAGGGAGAATAAAAAAAAAGAATAGAGAAGCTTCTCGCGTATACTGAAAAGGGATACCAACAGTGTACCTATAAATTCTGGGTTGTCTACTTTTAAAATTTTACCCCGTTAATGAAATTGAAATGAAAATGAAGCTGTGGTAGCCTAATAGTTTGACCTACTGCCTCTCAGGCAGAGGATCGTGGGTGCGAATCCAGACTCGCACCTCTGAATTTCTCGGAATTTGTGCGAAATTTAATTTGAAATTTATCGTGAGCTTTTCGGTAAAGGAAAACATCGTGGTGAAACGTTGAAGAAGGTTCAAAATCCTCGGAAAACGTGTCCAGTCCCCAACCCTCATTGGGCCAGTGTGGTGGACTGTCGCCTAAGCACTCGCTTGAGAGGAGACCCGTGCCCAGCAGTGGGACGTATAAATGGATTCATGATAATGATGAAATCTGCCGAGTCTAAGGAGGGAGAATCCGCCAGACCACATTTAGCTTGGTTGAGTTTTAGTAACCAAATAAAACAATTATGACAAATCATTACTTTTTTTGGCCCTTGAACAGTATTAACTTAGTACACATATTTCGAACTGAAAAAGTATTGAAAAGTAAAAAAACTACAATATTTAAAATGACTCATTAATTGGGGAAAAGATAATGGCAAAAGCACGGAATCCCTAAAATCAGCTTAAGTCTGTCTAATTTAATTTATACGTTATTAATTTGATCTCTCTTTCTCGCGTATCATAACCACTGCTGGTAGAAGCGAGATGGACATATTTGACAAAAATAAGATATTCTCCTTATTTTAGGAGGTTTATACGATGCAAACAAAAATCTTTCAATCAAGAAAAACACTTCAAATATCATTTAAAATACATGCAATCGGAATAGTCCAGGCTTGTAAGAGTATTTCACTAGTAATTCATACAAGAAAATTCATTGATTGTAATGAAAAATTAGAACTTACGTGTGAAAGATTATGTTGGGAATTTTTCGTTCCGTACGGCTTTTACAGCCTAAAATATAACAATGCACCATTATTGTGAGCTGCAATAATTGTCAATTACTACAAAGGAACGGCTAGTAACTTTGTAAAACACTTCTTAAAAGCATAAACACATAAAATCGATGTACATCAAACACTGGGAAGGATTTGCTGGACTCAACGAGCGTTGAGTCATACAACCAAAATCGCATACGTAGAAGGGACAAAAAATAATACTGTTTTCTCGTTTACTCTGATAAACGTCTGTGCATAAATCTATTTCGCTTATACGGTTTTATTATTTATAGAGCCCCTCTACCCAATTCTCCCTCTACGAGTTTTTCGTATTTACAAAACGAACTGCTCAGCGTCAAATTTTGTTTCATAAATGTCAGTCTTAGCTCGCGGAATCTTTACTGAATAATCTATGGTCATTTTTATAACGAAGAATGAATCTTGTAGCATGTTTACCAAAAGCAAACATCAATAAGGACTTGTAATTTAGTCTTGCGTGCCGACAGATATTAAGTTTTCCAAACCTTATTGATTGCACGTATATACAATATGAAATGCTAACGTTAATGGAATAGTAAAGCAATTTGTATTAAGACAATTTTAAATAACATGTCGAACTATGTACGTCCTATTCCAAGGTTGTAATATTCTAATTGCATTGCATTGCAACTAAGTCTAACAGTACACTCCAGTAGCGCTGCCGGTACAAAAAGGCTACTTGAAAATATTTGAAATTTGAACAGGTAAGTACCTTTAAGGTGAATTAAGATCCAAATTAGACGCGTTGACGCATTTCGACCATACGGAAAATCGGTTTTTTGACATTAAAAAATAGGATTTCAACTTGAAAATGATACTGAAAACCGAAAATACTGGGCGCTGTACTCTCGTTCTCCGTCCGTATATATAGCTGTCAAATAAGTAATACTCGATCAAATTAAATGATGATGTCATGCATGCATGTGAAGCTTTATTCGCATCATGCGTCAGGACGAAGACCTGACTACATTTTGTTCGATAAAAAAAATTTACAAAATTCCGCATAATCGCGAAACCGGAAAAATCTATTTCATTCGATTATTATTAGAGATACTTCAATGAAATTTTTTCTCCCGTTTACCGTAACATGGGATTATGAGCTTATTTTACAGTAAAAGAGTATATTTTATTTCTAAAAGACAATGTTTAAATATCGCGCAATGAATTTCTCCACGTCTACCTCAAACGCTTCTAAGCCTACACAACCTCGATAGCGTTTCGCCTTAAAATTAGACGGATTTAATTCACGCTATACCTAACGCGACCGTACGTCCCGCTTCGAGCGGGACAGTCCCGCTTGTAAGTTCGAGTCCCGCTGTCCCCAAAAGATAAGTCTTTTCCATAAGTCGTATTCCAGAACACTACTCAATGTTCAAGTCAGGCCTTGAGTATTGCAGTGAGCACTGAAAATCATTCTCAAGTCTGCTCAAATCCGGACTTGAGCATTGAGTACAGTTCTGGAATACGACCCTAAAAAATGTTCCGCTTTGACAAAATGGGACACACGTGAAAATAAACATATTGGCGCGATAGCGAAGCATTAAGTAAGCCTTGTTGCCCGGTTCTTTTACTTGTGCGTCCGTGCGGTTGGCGGCAGCTGTCGTGATTTATTTAGATTTAAAATCTATTCTCGCATATTAAAGCAAATTTGCTCATCCCAAAAAATATACTGTCGCAGGAAAGGCGAAATTACTAACCTCCAAAAGGCCAAAATGGCGCTTTGATTCTTTCGCTTTTCCAGAGACGATATAAAGCTAGGACGATGCGACCTCTTTCATCGTCATCCCACCTTTTTATACCCTTTTCTCTCGGTCCTGGCCACTTACTTTGGAAAATTTGAATTGTTCTCTAATTATTTTGCGTCGTCATTATCACTTTGCTTCGTTCCGTCGTCTCTCTCTACTAAATGTCTGAAGCGAGCACTCCTGCTCGTCTTCACCTGAATTCTGATTTTAGTTTTACTAGTTTTCAATTAAAATTATGTAACCTACCCAATATAATTAAAATCAAGTAACCTAACTAATATTTATAGGTGATAAAAAGGTGGGATGACGATTCGTATCGTCACAAAGCTAGCCCATCAGACCACACAAGATTAGTTCTTGTTTTTATTTTTGAACAGTAAACATTTTTCTTTTGATAAATTTTGTAATCATTAAACATTTCGTAACTGTCATAAACATGAAAACAATAATATATTTATAGGCTGCCCGCTCTGAGGGTTAAAAATAACGTAACCATTATTTTTTACTCTCAAAGCTATACTTCAATTATTTGTGTATAGAAAATTACAATACATACGTACATAAATACTAAGAAACCACGCGATTATAGAAATGGTAGTTTTTCTTCGCGCCGCAAGGCCGTGGCGATAAAGATCTCAGCGGGCGTTATATATATCACTGTAAATTACGTCCTAATATGAAGGAAAACAAATAAAACCGTTACTTACTACCAGCCTAATAAGTAAGATTATGTATTTTGTTTTATGTAGGCCATGAAAAAATGTGCTTTATGGTGTAAAGCGACCTTTTGTCTGCAAGTTGGAACAATAGGTGGGCTGTGCCCTATTAATCTGGGCTGGATGGCATTTCATTGTTGATTTTCCTGTCAGCTTGTAACATTAAATGTTTTGAAAGCATACACTATGTCAGATAAAAACGTGTATTAGGAACCAAGTTAATCACAATAAAAGTTCATTATTATATATATCTGTGACGGAGAGCGTGCGATGGAATTTCATGACTTAATTCCATAATTTTCTTTCGATCACGGGAGGGTGACTAAACTAGTCTGGGGTTCCACCCTTATGCTGTGAATATTCCAAGGATTCGCACGAAGCGTTATGCTGTCCCATTTATATGGCGTACGTGTACGCTATATAATGGAATTCCCTGCCTACCGACTTGTTGCCTGAACACTACCACTTGGGCCCTTTTCAAGATGATGTGGGTGTACATCAGGTGAGATGAAGTTCCAACGTGCACTTACATTTACTTAAAGAACAAAGTTCAATGATTTCAGTAACTGTCGAAAAGACGAAGCACAAATGGAGTAGTTTAGATACATTGACCAGTTCTCTAAGAATGTCTCATGCACTAAAAAACAT